TTTTTTTTTTTTTTTTCTTTTCAGTTAGCATATCATAAAATGTTTACAAATACAGTTTCTCCATAATTACTCTCTGTAAAAGTTACACAGTGTTGTATCAGGCAGAAGTCCTACAATGGAATAATGCAGTTCTGGTGTTGGATCCCAGTGTAAGAGGCAGGATAGGATAAGTGGAATAGTGTTGCCCTCCAAGCCTGAGTCAGAAGACCTAGGTGACCTGGGGTGAGTCGTTTTATCTGAGCTGCGGTTTCCTCAGCTAGACGATCGGGGTGCTTTTGTTCATTTACTGAGCAGCTGCTTAGTGCCAGGCACTGTACGAGACCCCGGGTGAACAGTGGTGAATGAAACAAGCACGGCTGGGCTCTGCCCTCAAGAAGCTTAAAATGTGTAGAAATTCATAAGCACGGAGCAAGCCTTAATGTGTCAGAGCAAGTTACCCTGTGAGAAGGAAGGTGAGCAGCTCAGGTGTGCCCTTGGCGAGCAAGAAAGCTAAAAACGTGCCCCGTGGAGGTGCTGACACAAAACAGGCACACACCACATACTATGTGAGCCTCCTGCGACTTCCCTTAGCCTAAAATTGAAGAGATCTGAAATCAGCACTTGACTGTCCCCCTAGAGATGGGCTTGTCCGGGAGCCCACACCTTACTAAAAGGTACCTCCGCTCTTGCATTCGTTCGGGCCAGGAACCCTGGAGACCTCCCCCAGTCTTCCTTCTCTCTCACACCCCACATCCAACTCCTCCACCAGTCCCGTCGGCCCTCCTTCCAGAATCCGGGTCCTCTCCGAGCCCTGTCCACCAGGACCTGTCACCACCAGGCCTGCAGCACCGGCGTCTCCTGAGTGAGTGGGATGGCTTCCCGTCCTGGCTTCTTTCACTCTGTCCGCCTCCAAGCAATTCACACAACAGTCGGTGCTCCGTGCCCCTTTCGGATGCAAGTCGGACTAGGTTTTTCCTGCTCTCGGCTCTCCCCTGGCCCTGCCATCGTCCCTGATAACGTTCAGAAGGTGTGTGAGCGTCTGTCCGGAGTTGGCCCCACTCCCTTGTCTTCCCACCCTCCTCCCCACTCTGGTGGTCTTGCTCCTCTTGAGACACATGACACGTGTCCATCTCATATGCCCCCTGCCTGAGGGAACAGCTCTGTCTGCGAGAGCAAAGCCCCCTCCTCTTTCCCTCCCCCGTTTTCTTCTCTTGCTCTCTTTTTCTCTGTGGAACCCATTGCCATGAGACCTGTTCTATATTTACTTCTTTGTTTTAGTCTGCCTCCCTCCCTTAGAACGGAAGCTCCCTGCAGAGACGTTGCTTTGTTCGCTGCTGTTTGCCCAGAGCCTGGCACATTGGTAGTTGTTGAAGGACAGCTCTTCTGGATGAGCACGGTTGCCTCGGCTCCCTGCGTAGGATCAGCCAGAATTGCGGGACCCGGCGGGGCTGTCACGTGTCGATCTGACGGACAGCTTCACAGCTCCAGAATTTATCTGATCTGTCTGTATGTCCGGAGCTGATCACGTTCTTGGGGAACCCAGCTCTCAGTAGACTGACGCAGAGATCAGATGCAAATTCACTTGACTTAATGTGGAAGTATGTACCCTCCCAGCCACGGAGACATCCTACCAAGGACACCCGTTCCTGCTACAGAGACATCTAGGAGGCTCAGTTATGCATCACACTTGGTGACCAGGGAATCAGAGTTGAGTGAGTCGGACTGAAATGAGCAAACAATATGAAATGTATCTGAAGCTCAGGGGAGACACTGTGTGGGCTGAGCTAGAGGAACGTAAAATACTCAGAACAGGAGCTGGCACACAGAAACTGCTTGATCGTTGTTAGGCCACACATCAGTGGCCTCCTGACAAAATAGTCATGGTGCTGAACGTCGGTCTTTCCCACACGAGCGGTGCCACAGTGAGGTTGCCAGGCCCTTGTCGGGTCTCAGAGGCCGGTGTACCTGTGCTATAGGGGGTGAATGTTCCAGTGGCCTTGGTTTATCATCATTATTTGCCTTATGCAGCTGACAGCCACTCTCTGCCTCCAGGCTCACCGTAAATCCAGTGGTTATAGTCTGGCTTTCCTCATGTCCTGCCCGACAGGGGAGAATGCGTTAGCCCAAGGATTTGAAGTTCCCAGGCCGCCAGCGTTATATTCCTAGCAAGTTAGTAAACTGGCATCCTTGGCCATAACTTGGGTTTCTGTGTGGCGTGAGCATGTGCTCACCCCGGCTTATGGGAATATGGTACCCTCAGTCACTTGTCCTCGCTGTGAATGAATACTGGCCTGTAGTGTTGATAGACCTCATGAGCTTGGTCAGAGCGCATCCCCAAGAAGCATGCCTGGAGTTGGTTTATTGACACAATCAGCTTTCGCTGCGAGGGCTGAGGACGAGCACCGTGAGACTGCGTTGTCTCCCAGAGTAACCTCCTCTTGCCGCGTCCTGGGAGACAGACTGTCTTTCTCTTGAAATACTGCCACACCACCTTGGCCCCAGAGTTGGACAGCCCCTGTGTATTACAAGGGTCGTTTAAGAAAATAGTTTGAGAATGTATAGCAAAACCATAAAATCTTATCCATCCTTTGGTCCAGTAACTATCCCTAGTCAGACTCTCCCCTAAGGAAATAATCCAAATTATGGGAGACTCTATCTGTGTAAAGGTGGGCATCTCAGCATTATTTATAATCACCCAAAACTACAAGCATCCCAGACATCCAGCAGTAGAGAAGTAGTTATGTAAATTATTACGTAGCAATTTAATTAGCACAGCTACTAAAAAGGACAAAGTTTTTGATAATGTGGGGAACTGCTCATAATTAATATAGTGCAAAAAAAGCAGTATATGTAATATTCAAATTAAGATTTGTATTTATTTATTTAAAAAAAATTTTTTTTTAACGTTTATTTTTGAGACAGAGAGAGACAGAGCATGAACGGGGGAGGGTCAGAGAGAGAGGGAGACAC